TGAATTCAATGAATCCAACGATCAGTCGATCACTCAATGGCTCTAATCTATTGACGTGTGTTTTGCACCGATTTATTACATATACACGTCGGCATTGACTCGCATTCACAAACACTGTTACGCATTCTGTGAGTGCGTCCAGTGATAGGGAGAGTGTGTTTCTGTGAAGGTCTTGTTTGTAATGAATGCATAGCCCGTATGGCATGTGCTTTGGGGTCCAATGTTTATGCATTTTATTCGTAACGTTATTTAATTGAAGCGGATTTAAAGTTTGAGTGAATGCTATGATTAACGCTAGAGTCCACTACACTGTGTGTGACAATGCATTTCATTTCTAATTGTGTTTAAAACTGGATTTGAATTATATGTTCAAAATATAGAAACACTAGAAATGAAAACTCTTATAATTTGTTTGTTTTAAACGATCAAAATGTGATGAATCGGTGGAAACAATTGTTTTGTAACTATGTTTTGAAACCAAAAACTTGAGGAAAGTTATCTCATTGTAATGATTAGTAATCATTGATTACATAAGCAATCACTTGATTACATAACCAATTAATATTTGCTATAATAGCTTATGCTTTATGTTTGTAAAATATGTTTGCATGAATTGAATTGCCAATATCCTTAATTCATATAATAAATGCAATTATTTCACAATTAATTTCTAAATAAAATCACTGTTTAAACAGTTGTTAATTTCGCTATACAAAGCCAATGACAAGCCCTCACAATAACTCTCACTTCGAAGTTCGAACGTAACGCTATATACGAACGCATACAGTAGTTATGTTAACTTAAATGTCAAAAGTCATGCAAAAAGGAGTGAAGAAATGAATGACTGATTGAATGAATGGTTTGTTTGAGTGAAACACAAACGCAAAACGCAATGCATTTAACCATTGATTGCATTGTTTTAACACTCAATACATATGTAATTAAGGCTTCAATTAATTGTAATAATGGACTGAAAAAAGGTATTCAATAACATTGCGATCGATTGGTTGATTGGATCATCTGTTTGTTGTCATTGCAATAATAATAACAACAATTGTCACCATAACTGGTCCTAACGATGGGCTCATTCGTGTCGCACCTCTTCGGCAGCAACACTAACATCAAGACAATCAGCCATTTGTTTAACTCGTATCCGACGGGCTATATATGCGATACAACCAAACAGATTGTGTCCGCACTTCTCGTCGAACTCAACAACAACTACTCCAATGACGCCAATCATATCAACTGGAACTACATTCACGAGACATATCTTCAGCTCATACCCCGGGTATGACTCACTATTCTCTACCATCGTTTCCAGTACTGCCATTGATCTCATTTACATTTGTCTCTACCATTTAGGGCGAGAACCTATTGCTGGTGATTGACTGCAACGGCTATAATATACTGCAGCGGGCGGTGAGTCTGAAGAGTGTGGAACTGACGAAATGGCTGCTGAACTACGGGTGTGACTGCAATCGGGGCACATGTAGTCTTCCCCTCCATATCGCAACACTGAACGGTCCGATAGAGATCGTCGAACTTCTGGTCAAATTCGGCGCGAGAGTGGACTGCGAGGCGCGGATGTGTTATCCCGGACCGCACTCTCAAAACTGTGAACTCGGCCGCCGGTCGGGTCTCCTCTGGAACGGCGGCTCTCAACACAGCGCTGCCAACGATCGGCTCCAGTCGGCCGACTATTACGCCATAGACGGCGATCAGGCGTCGATTCTGGAGTACGTTATGGTCAGGTGTGAGGATAATTGGCTTCCGTGGCAGTGCCAGAAGAAACCGCTGCTCCACTCGGCCTTCGAGAGGGGCGCCTGGAATTGTGTCAATTATCTCATCTCCGAAAGACCCGATGAAATCAATCAATTATACGACGAATACTTTCCCATACATCAGGCAGTCCTCCAAGACATCCGATTCTTGGAACTCCTAATACAGGTAATCCATTACTCATTAGTCCCAATTTCGTTACCCAATTATATGAAATGTTTGTTTTGTGGCCAATAGTGTAACGCAGATCTCACTCAACGCACGTCAACACAACAGCTGACAGTTCTTCACGTGTTGTTATTGTTGGGGAAGAAGTCGTCGAACGAGACATTGGCCACATTGAAGCTGCTGTTTGAACGCGGCTGCAGACCACTGGTCAATGAACCCGACAGTCTCGGCAATACTCCTCTGCACGCACTCATCGTGAGGTACTCTCTCGAAGAATCTCAATATAATAGTCCTTCGCATAACGGATCCGAACAGACACTTCGGTGGACCACTTGGGATATGTTGCACAGTAAGCACATTACACTTACCCAAACCAGACTAACTAATGATGTTTGTTTGGATCAGTTTTCAGGTTTATTCTACAACAGGGAGTGATTCAGAGCATCAATCGTAAGGGCAATAGCGCTCTGTGTTGTGTTCTCAGACACGTGAAGGACTGGGAGTTTCGGTTCGAGTTGTTATATATGTTACTGCAATACGGAGCGGATCCCAATTGCGTGGGAAGGGATGGGTCGGTGCCACTGATCCTATGCTTCACACCACTGCTGAACAAGGGTTTGTTGCATCTGTTGAGTCACTCAAAGAAGGTCTCGTATCTGAATTGTGTCCGCATTTTGTGCAAATACGGCGCGAATCCCAACTGTTCTTACTATCGAAACACATTGACTCCATTACACGTTCTAGTCTTCAGTGCCAGTGAATACATGTCGTTAACCAATTGCGACAAACCGGCGGCCTTTGCTTTCATACGACAAGTGCTGACCGTATTATTGCAGCACAAACTCGACCCAAATGTCGACTTCTCTCAGCGGAATCAACACATCTTATTAGCGCTCTTGGATTTGGTCCAAAACGCACGCATGCCTTCCGATTTGGATTATGTCCACGACTTATCACAAACTCTCATGAAATTTGGGGCCAATCCTGACGTCAAGTGCTCGACAGAGCCAACCATTTGTCACTCACAGAGTTCTGTCTTCCTTAAGAGATCCTCAGATCATGTAAACCATTAACTCATTGTAAATACTAATCCATTGCTAATACGTTGCCATTTGTTGTGTCCCGACGTTTAGGTTATCTTCTATTATATTCATTATTTGCTCCGAAAAGAGGAACTCCTGATCGACGACAAGTCGGTTGAGCAGCACTTCTCGAAACTCATTTTACTCTATTATCACACGATGTCTCACAACGAGCTCTACTCATGTCTCCAACAACTGAACAAAGAACTACTCAT